CTTGTTTCTCAATCGTTACATATTTGTACACGTTAAACAATAATAATGCATAAATTTTGGAAGCTAAAAAATGTTAATAAAGTACAATAACACAAATGTTATTGTATAGTAATATGAACAGATGTTACAATTAAGTTCGTGTTACTATAGTAACACGAATGTAACTGTATTTATGTTACTATTGTAACACGAATGTTACTATATTCGTGTTACTAATACAATACAAGATTACAACATGGGTTACCAAAACTCACCCAACACAAACTGTTAAAAAAGAAACATTTGTAATTTGTTTCCTCTATCAGGATTTCTCCCCAACAATCAATTACCTGAGTATTAACATGATTTTGTTAAATAACATAGAATTCAAGTTTGCATATTAATTCTAGTCAAAATGCATGGTAGATTACATTGTTGTGCAACTTTTCCCCATTCATGAGTTTCAACACATCTTCAATTTCAATAATATTTTTAGACTTTTTCTCACTCCATAACGTTGTCTTTTTAATTAAAAACAATACATGTTAATAAAATAGAGTATAAACAGTAATATGTAGAAAGTATTGCATAATGGTCGTTAAGTTACTTACCTTTGCCCTTCAGCCTTATGCATTCGATACAATTTGTCGTACACCTCCGATTCTAATTTCTTGCATGCTCTCTATCTCCATGTTTCAACTCTTTTACTTTCTAGCTTCTCATTTGACATTATAATATCCAAATCATCAACATCGATACAGCTATTTGGTATATTCTCTTTTCCTTAAAAATAAACATCAACTTTTATGTAAAATCACATATCTTAAATCTTTTTCTGAATCCCAAAGTTTGTGAAGATGTTTTGAATGCAAATAAATTAACTGTAACTTCGTCAATGGAGTCCACAATAAACTTGAAGAGTAAAATAAAATTTTGTTTTTATGGTCTATAACCGGTTTAAAATTTGAATAAGAACGATTTAGGTAATGACAATTAATTGTTTCTAGAAAAGGAAACTTAGTGGATTGTAAGAATATTGCCAGATTTGAAGGCTAGAATGAAGGGGGAGTTTGTCGTTGTACAGTGGCGAGAATGAAGGGGTTTGTCCGTCTGGGAAAGAAAAGGTAAGTTAGATTCCATTGATATTTTTACAAAAGATAGGGGTACAATAGTAAATTTATCAAAAAACGGATTTAAAACTATATAAATTTCCTTACCGAACTTTTTTCCAAAAAAGTCCATTTAAGGGACCGGACTCCAAACTTTTCTAAAAAAATTGATCCATACATAGAAAGTTAGTTAAGGCAATATCATGGATAACCAGGAATGACCCAATAAAAAAGGTGTATTTCATATATTTTGTCTCGTGAATTGGGCCTAGTCTGATCCAGCTCCCGGGTTTCATATGCAAACGTTATATACTTCACAATGACTCTGGGCCCAAGTTGTGGCCCAATCATAAACAATAAATTGGACTTGGACACCTATATCTTCTAGGCTAGTAGATTATGCCACGTAGTTCTACGGTTCTGGACCCTTCTTGCAAATGAGGACCGAATAGCTCTTTACCTATTTTTTATTTTTGAATTTGACATTTTATATTCTCTTTTGCAGTTTTTCACTTATAAAGACACTTTTGATTTAAACACAAGTTAAGGTTAACGTTGGCCTAATGACCACATCCCGCNTCCTTCAGCCTTATGCATTCGATACAATTTGTCGTACACCTCCGATTCTAATTTCTTGCATGCTCTCTATCTCCATGTTTCAACTCTTTTACTTTCTAGCTTCTCATTTGACATTATAATATCCAAATCATCAACATCGATACAGCTATTTGGTATATTCTCTTTTCCTTAAAAATAAACATCAACTTTTATGTAAAATCACATATCTTAAATCTTTTTCTGAATCCCAAAGTTTGTGAAGATGTTTTGAATGCAGATAAATTAACTGTAACTTCGCCAATGGAGTCCACAATAAACTTGAAGAGTAAAATAAAATTTTGTTTTTATGGTCTATAACCGGTTTAAAATTTGAATAAGAACGATTTAGGTAATGACAATTAATTGTTTCTAGAAAAGGAAACTTAGTGGATTGTAAGAATATTGCCAGATTTGAAGGCTAGAATGAAGGGGGAGTTTGTCGTTGTACAGTGGCGAGAATGAAGGGGTTTGTCCGTCTGGGAAAGAAAAGGTAAGTTAGATTCCATTGATATTTTTACAAAAGATAGGGGTACAATAGTAAATTTATCAAAAAACGGATTTAAAACTATATAAATTTCCTTACCGAACTTTTTTCCAAAAAAGTCCATTTAAGGGACCGGACTCCAAACTTTTCTAAAAAAATTGATCCATACATAGAAAGTTAGTTAAGGCAATATCATGGATAACCAGGAATGACCCAATAAAAAAGGTGTATTTCATATATTTTGTCTCGTGAATGGGGCCTAGTCTGATCCAGCTCCCGGGTTTCATATGCAAACGTTATATACTTCACAATGACTCTGGGCCCAAGTTGTGGCCCAATCATAAACAATAAATTGGACTTGGACACCTATATCTTCTAGGCTAGTAGATTATGCCACGTAGTTCTACGGTTCTGGACCCTTCTTGCAAATGAGGACCGAATAGCTCTTTACCTATTTTTTATTTTTGAATTTGACATTTTATATTCTCTTTTGATTAGTTTTTCACTTATAAATACACTTTTGATTTAAACACAAGTTAAGGTTAACGTTGGCCTAATGACCACATCCCGCTTGTAAACCTTAAAATTGTAAGTTTGAATCTTATCGACACTTTCTATTTAATAACGTTTAACCAAAAAAAATAAAAGATTAATAACCAATGGTAACTAACACATAATCAATTAATTGTACGGTAGTATGTGTATGTGTCCATCCCACGTGAAAAATAATAGGAAATTATTGGTTATGAATTTAGTTTTAATAAGTTCAAAATTCAAATCATATATGNCGTGAAAAATAATAGGAAATTATTGGTTATGAATTTAGTTTTAATAAGTTCAAAAGGAAATTATTGGTTATGAATTTAGTTTTAATAAGTTCAAAATTCAAATCATATATGCACTGATCGATTGAACTCGATGTTACTCATTTTACTTATGTCCAACCATCGTGATCAAATAAAAATATATTAATTTCTTGATTATGATTTTAATTTTAACAAGTTTGAGTCTTCATTAAATTAACCAATTAAACTAGTATAGACCAATTTGTTATATGGATTTTTGACACAAAATTAATAATTAAGAGACTAAATATTATGTTTGGATGACGGAAGAAATCTCTATCCTATCATTAGTGAGATAGAGGCGACTTAGTTGTTCAAGTTCGTGAGTTTGAATCGAGGGCAAACAGCAAGTTCATAAATCGATCCCTCAACTCATACACTAGTTAAATCAGAATTTATGTTTCGGTGAAATTTAAACTCACACTAGAGATTTGAATACAATTCGTCTAAACAACTGAGATTGGNATGTCAGATCTTTGTTGATGACATTTTCATATAAATATATTGGACAGTTGATGTCCTGCGTGCTAACAACAATTTCTTCTTTTGTTTTCAAATACTTCATTTGTCATTCCTTGAATGTCGTCTCCGCGTATTCTTTCTATCACATTAAAATGTTGTTAATTTTATCTAAGAAAAATATATCAAATAATATGGGTTGTTCACATTTACTTAACTTACCAATATTTTGGCATCCTCAAACCAATTATCCTTCATTCCACTGCGAGGTTTCAAGGAGTTGTAGTGGATCCAATCCCCTGCTTCTGTATCCAGTGTAAGCAATGTCTAGTGGAATGGTATAGGTTGGTTGCGCTGCCCATTTGAATTCATTGGGAATACAAGTAATGATCAAACTTGCCCCATATTCAAGTTGTTGTCTATCTCAATCTGTCGAGAGTATTCTTGTTTCTCAATCGTTACATATTTGTACACGTTAAACAATAGTAATGCATAAATTTTGGAAGCTAAAAAATGTTAATAAAGTACAATAACACAAATGTTATTGTATAGTAATATGAACAGATGTTACAATTAAGTTCGTGTTACTATAGTAACACGAATGTAACTGTATTTATGTTACTATTGTAACACGAATGTTACTATATTCGTGTTACTAATACAATACAAGATTACAACATAGGTTACCAAAACTCACCCAACACAAACTGTTAAAAAAGAAACATTTGTAATTTGTTTCCTCTATCAGGATTTCTCCCCAACAATCAATTACCTGAGTATTAACATGATTTTGTTAAATAACATAGAATTCAAGTTTGCATATTAATTCTAGTCAAAATGCATGGTAGATTACATTGTTGTGCAACTTTTCCCCATTCATGAGTTTCAACACATCTTCAATTTCAATAATATTTTTAGACTTTTTCTCACTCCATAACGTTGTCTTTTTAATTAAAAACAATACATGTTAATAAAATAGAGTATAAACAGTAATATGTAGAAAGTATTGCATAATGGTCGTTAAGTTACTTACCTTTGCCCTTCAGCCTTATGCATTCGATACAATTTGTCGTACACCTCCGATTCTAATTTCTTGCATGCTCTCTATCTCCATGTTTCAACTCTTTTACTTTCTAGCTTCTCATTTGACATTATAATATCCAAATCATCAACATCGATACAGCTATTTGGTATATTCTCTTTTCCTTAAAAATAAACATCAACTTTTATGTAAAATCACATATCTTAAATCTTTTTCTGAATCCCAAAGTTTGTGAAGATGTTTTGAATGCAANAAAAAATATTTTTCAAAATTTTTATAATTATTTTATGCCTACAATACTCGTTAAATATTTTTATCCCTAAAATTTATAATCATTTGATCGGATAAATTATAAATTATAAAATTTATATTTTTATCCCTAAAATTTATTATAATTTTTTTATAAAATTTACCCAGAAATTAATAAAACAGAAAAGGAAAATGATGTGTCTCTCTATCTCTCTGTCTCTGTCTCTCTCCCCCTCTCTCGATCTCTCTCGGAAGCTCTAGAACTTTCGTGCCAGCACCTTTTATTACTTCCTATGCATTCTGGGTCGTGGACACTGAGGGGGTCTCGCACTTTCTAATCCACTTTCATTTCATTTTCTCTCTCTTCGTAGCGTCTGAAAGGTAAGTTCTAAATCTTCTCAGCTCAACTCTTCTTTGCTTCTTTAGCTGTGTTGTCTAATAGTTCTTTAAGTGATTCCCTAATAATTATTCGTGGCTGTGATTGTTAACTTCCTTGAGTGGCTGATTATGAACTTGGGTTGTCATATGAAACCACTACATGTCTTGAGCTTTCTCGTAATTTAAGTTAATACCCATTAATAATTATTTATGTTGCTTGTTAGAATGGGTTGATCTCAGTTTTGCTCGGTTCTTTATTGTGAATGTTGCTTGATTTTCTCGTTTGTTAGATGTATTTTTGTAGTTTGTTGACTATTAGTTAGTTACTGCGATTTAAAGTTAAATTGGACGGTCAGAGAGACTTGCTTTGTGGACTTAGTAAAATTGGATGCGGCTGGTGAAAAAAGAGTTGGTATCTCTCATGGTTTCATGGTGAATGGGGGGGACAATTTTGTTTTATTTAGGAGAGCCAATGCAAATATAAGTGGGTGTATTTTTATCTCACCGTTGAGAATCTAAATACATGATTTGAGAATTTGATATGTGAAGTATGTGGGGTTTTGCATTTTAATCTAACTGGTTGATCATAAACATGCATGGCTTGTAGTTGTTTGTGGGAAATCCTGTGTGGACCACATTCTGTTGAACTTTGGGAGCTAATGTATACTGAGTTATTGCTTGAATTAAATGTTGATTGCCAAACTGGTGAATGCAGACAGAAGCCCATTTCTATATATGGATTCGCTGTAGTAATATCGGTAGAAAGGTTCCTAAAGTACTTTGTTGATGATGCTTGCTAAACCATTTTGTGCAGAAGGTAGAAATGTGCGTCACGATTATAATCCACTTTTAATGGGACCGCAAAAAAAAAAGGAAGAAAAAGATATGATTACAATCCATTTTTAAAGGGAGCAACAAAAAAATGCGTGGTTGGTAGATTTTTTTATGTTTCCTTTGGGCTGTGGCATTCTTGCTATATATCAAAAAAAAATTTAGCAGAAAGTTGTTTACAAGGGCTTCTGTTGCTCTACAATAGTGTCAAAATTTGCTATATACTGATGATGTTGCTTGTGTTTTATGAATATCTCACAACTCAGTGGGCCTATGCAAACATGCTGGCTTTGTAGCTAGCATATTCTGTGAATGTAAAAGCAATTTAAGTCCTGTCTGTGTTTTGGTAAGTTTGTGTTACCATTTCGATTGGTGCCTGTGATGTGAATTAGGAGTTTAACTTAACTTATAGGTACTAGTTGAGAAGCACTTTGTTGAACCTGGTGAATTTCATGCCCATATGGTAAATTTCCTAAAGATACTTATTTTTATCTGAAAGTTCCTATAGTGCGAAGATTCAAAATAAATTAACAAGAGTACTCAAGAACTTTTTGGGGGATTAAAGTAACAATTATACATCATAGAATAGNATTTTTATCTGAAAGTTCCTATAGTGCGAAGATTCAAAATAAATTAAAAAGAGTACTCAAGAACTTTTTGGGGGATTAAAGTAACAATTATACATCATAGAATAGATGGTTAGATTTTTCCCCCTCTTTTAACTTTTTCATTTTGCTTCATAGAAGTGAGAAGACCTCAACCCCTAGTTTGCTATTTGCTTTTGCTCTGTTGGTCCTAAATATTGTTTAACTGCTTAAATAATTCTTAAAGTTTACAGGAATGGCTGAACAAGCATACACTGTGGCATCTGATAATGAAACAACTGGAGAGGAAAAATCTTCATCTCCTATCCCAGAAATTGCAATTGGCATCGACATCGGTACTTCTCAATGTAGTGTTGCAGTGTGGAACGGCTCCCAGGTGGAGGTACTTAGGAACACTAGAAACCACAAGCTAATGAGATCATATGTCACCTTCAAAAATGAAATGCCATCAGGTGGAGTTAGCAATCAACTGTCTCATGAGTATGAAATGTTAAGTGGGGCAACAATTTTCAACATGAAGCGCCTAATTGGTAGAGTTGACACTGATCCAATCATTCATGCAAGCAAAACCCTCCCATTTCTGGTACAAACTTTGGACATTGGTGTCAGGCCATTTATTGCCGCATTAGTGAACAATATGTGGAGGTCTACTACACCTGAAGAAGTTCTGGCAATATTTTTGGTGGAATTGAGAGCCATGGCCGAAGTTCAGCTTAAGCGTCTTGTGAGAAGTGCTGTTCTGACCACCCCAGTTTCTTTTAGTCGGTTTCAACTGACTCGGATTGAGCGTGCTTGTGCCATGGCTGGCCTTCAAGTCCTAAGACTTATGCCTGAACCAACTGCCATTGCTCTGCTGTATGCACAACAGCAGCAGCAGACTGTACATGAAAACTTGGGTAGTGGGATAGAAAAGATTGCACTTATTTTCAATATGGGTGCTGGTTATAGTGATGTAGCTGTAACTGCTACAGCAGGAGGAGTTTCGCAGATTAAAGCCTTGGCAGGAAGTACGATTGGAGGTGAAGACATACTTCAAAACATGATGCATCACCTATTACCCGATATGGACAATATCTTCTCAAGCCGTGGAATTAATGAGATAAAGGCAATGGGGTTGCTTCGTGTTGCAACTCAGGATGCAATCCACAAGCTCTCCTCTCAAGCCAATGTTCAGATTGATGTGGACCTAGGAAATGGGAGGAAAATATGTAAAGTGGTCGATAGGGAAGAATTTGAGGAAGTGAACCAGAATGTGTTCCAGAAATGTGAGTCTCTTGTGACTCAGTGCTTGCATGATGCAAAGGTAGAAGTGGAGGATGTGAATGATGTAATACTTGTTGGTGGTGGTTCAAATATTCCAAAGATTAGGAAAATCGTTATGGGCATTTGCAAAAGAGAGGACATATATTGCGGGATGAACCCATTGGAGGCTGCAGTTTGTGGGGCGGCACTGGAGGGAGCAGTGGCTTCTGGAATCACTGATCCTTTAGGGAGTTTGGACCTGTTAACTATTCAAGCCACTCCTCTGAGCATTGGCATTCGAGCTGATGAAAACAGCTTTGTGCCTATCATTCCTCGCAACACCACAATGCCAGCAAGGAAAGATCTGACATTCACAACCGTTCAAGATCATCAGGCTGAAGCACTGATTGTTGTGTATGAAGGTGATGAGAAGAGTATCGAAAAGAACCATTTGCTGGGCTGTTTCAAGGTCACAGGAATACCTCCAGCGCCAAAAGGGGTTCCGGAGATTAATGTGTGTATGGACATCGATGCTTCAAATGTGCTTAGAGTGTTTGCTGGTGTCGCAATGCCTGGGACACAAAATCCAGTAGCTCCATTTATGGAAGTTAGGATGCCAACTTTGGATGACGGGCAAGGCTGGTGCACTGAAGCTCTACACAGAACTTATGGCTCTACTTTGGATTTGATCACTGTGCAGAAGAAGGTACAGCAGTAAGATGAGAAGCCAGAGAACGTAGGTTGTTTTGTGTGTTTGGTTTAGTAAATTCTGATTATGCTATTTGTCGTTCTGTGAGAGACCATTTCAGCGAAACTATTAATATCACTTCTAATGTGTTTGTATACTCGAACATAAATGTTTACAATGGAATAATGCGTGTATGGTCTTAATGTTAACAATGCTAGAAATCTTAGCTTATAATACGGATTGCTTGAGAAAAGGGTCAGCAGATATGGATTCTCGATTCTTGTGTCAGAACCTGTTTTAGTTTCCCACCCTAATACTGGCATAGCCTCTGATTTAAACATGCATTGGGACAAAGAATGTTTGAAGTTACCATCCCATATAAATCTTAAGAGTTGGGTTTCAAATTTTTGCTGGTGTTATGGTCGGGAAAGCAGGGCTGCATTTTTGTCATGATTTTATAGCAGTGTGCTAGTACAAAGTCAGCTTGATAATGTGCTGGTGGTAAATTAGTTGTAAGTGCACCCAAGAATTCATTCCATTGCTTCGCCCCCTTCTTCTTGGCTGCTCTTCTGTACTATCTTCCTTATTAAGACTAATGTTCACCCATGGTGAGAATTATATATATTGTTTACATGTTATATGTTTAGCTCTTAGCAAGTGAAATTTTGGGGTGACATGACAACATCTCAATTACTTGATGCCTAGCCGGTTTTTCGGTTGATCTTAATAGATTGTCTGAAGGTGATGCTGGGGGTAGGATGCATAACCATCTAAAAATTAGCCATTAAGATAAGAAATAACTCGATTGTTTGAGTAGGGAGATGTTCGTTGTGGAGAGGCATTATACAAGGAAAGATGAAACTTCACTGCCCTATGAAAAGCGGGGGATGAGGTGATCTCAGTGGATTTGGAGTGTTAGTTTTTACCCTTTACCCATAAACCCTCTTATTCCGTCCATAAATTAGTAGATTGGGTACCTAGGGTACAGCAGCCAGTGAATGATTAGTCTCACTTCAATAACAAGCCTATCTCATAAGAGTTAAGATCTCACATAATCCGACTTTGTTATTTAATTTTCTAGCTCCCTACAGCGAGTGATGGAGGAAGGACAGTGTTTGGTGTTGCATACTGTATGGGTAATAGAGCAGTCAATACACGAGGTTTTTATCAGTGCAGAAAAGATTAAACGACGTATATTCTACGAATCTAGTGCAATATTCTTTGTGTTTTTTTCTATGATTTTCCCTCTTCGGGAGAAATGAATGCTGAATTCCCAGCAATCCGCAACAAGTTGAATCCTATTTCTCTTCTGCGGGATGTATTGCTGTCCGGATTGATCTTTGAAAAAAAAAATGGATTTTTACCAACATATATTAACCAATGTTCATACCCAAAGAAATCCTATCCATGCACAGAGCATCCATATAACTTGGAGTGTCCATTCATGTTGTATTATGTAATTCGCGTGTCATTATTATTTATGTCGTGTACACGAAAAAAAATTTTATTTAGTGTGTGATAAAAGTCAACCATTAATCTAAATAATTTATTATGCGTATTTATCAATTTTAAAATTGTGTCAGGGTCGATTTGTATTGACCGGGCAAGTTGACACCACTACACAGCCGGGCTGCCCTGAGAGTTTCTTCTGAAATTTAGATGCCCTTTGTTAATGGGGCGTAGCCAGAAATGTATTTTTGGGTGGACACACTTAATCAACAAAATTTAATTTTTTTCTCCAATCAATAAAAGTATTGCGGTACATGTTTTTTTTTTACGTCGTGTTGCATATTTATTTAAAGATTCATTAAATAAAAAAAAAAATCAAATACCAATATATGTAATATATGCAAACAATACTCAATAAAAAAAAGACTAATTATAACCTTTTACAAAAAATGAGGTTAATTACAGCCATATACAATGGACCCTGACAACCGATAACGTTATTAATAATGTTATCGAAAATGTCTTTATATAAATAATTAAGTTAATAGTAATCATTTTCAAGCTAAGTTTGCATTAATTTTAAAAAGTCATAGTAATTTCAAACAATTATGAATAATATAAGATTGAGAGTTATCAAAAAAAAAAAAAATAGGCTTAATCACTAGTCGCAATTTTTTAACATATAAACATTTCTTTAAGTGAAAAATGTGTCCGATTATATTTTTTACACAACATTTAGTTGTTTCAAACTTATTAGAGTGGGTCTAATATTTTTGGTTTTTTGTCGCGAGGGTTGGCTTAATTCTAACTACTCAATAAAAAATTATAAATATATAAAGGTAAAAATTTTAAATTTTTTTTCAGGATGGGCATGTCCCCCGCGCCCCCGGCCCCGCCGCGGGTCCCTATGTCCCTCCGCCCTTGCTTTGTTACATAGCCCCTCAGCTTTCTTGGTATCTGACAGGTTTAAGGCCTAGCACGTTACAAAGCCCAATTGCAGCAGAAGTTAGAACTGCCTATAGGTGTAAAAACAGAGAAAAATACAATAAGTCAAGAAATGGAGAAAAATGATATTCAATGGAGTAAACCTAGTAGACAATGTTTCTTCATTCTTACAAATTACCACTCACTGTATAAGAAGGTAGTTTTACCAGATTTGCAATAGCATACCCAATGGTGAACTCTGCCATTTTCATCACATCACAAGCACAATACAAACTTTAACCCAATCAATGTACATGTAGCTGCAAGCATTTGGCATATACTCGGTCGAAACACAGCAAATGTGTTTTTAGCCAGTCCTGCTAATTGGTATTCAGCAAACAAGAGTCGAAAAGGACACTAGACAAGAATGTACTGCTTGTAATGTAATAGAAGAGTCATGGTCCACTTCCTCGGGCTTTCTTCTATCTCAACTAGACGAAGGAGACATGAATTTAATTCTAGCAGGTAAGGTAAGGGATTGGTTTAACTATGTGTTCTCTCCTTGTTGGGTTGGAGGCAAAAACTGGCAATGATCATCATCCAGGGGTGGGTGTTTATGGCAATGTGATCATCTGGCTTGCTGTAGATTAACTGAATCACTTGTAGGAACAGAATTAACCAAAGCAAAAGCAAAAGGAAATTGCCAATTGAACCATGTATAACATAACCTTCATTGTCATTAACCTCACTATGTCCAAGTAATCACTTGTGCAAAAGGATTAAAAAGCACCATANAGAAAAAAGAAAACGCACAAAACTTGTCTGGGTTATTTCAACAAAAACTTCTCTACAATGAAGATTAAAAAGACAAAGAAAAAAGAAAACCCACAAAACTTCTCTGGGTTATTTCAACAAAAACTTGGTCTGGGTGTCTTCTTGTTCACATGAATTGTATGAAAGAGAAATGAGAAGTGGTCAAAAAACAAGAAATAGAATAGGGGCAAGTGCATCTTACCAGAATGAATCAATAGAAAGTGAAATCAAACACCCATGTTCCAAATGCATTGAAATCTGCTGGAGTTCATTCATGGCTTGCTGTGAGATGGCTTTTTGTGGAGAGTATTGAAGTTGTGATATATGCTTTTATGGTTGATGAATTGTTCACTGTTTTTAAAAGTACCAGGAATCTATTGTGTTTAAGGAAAGGACAAGTGAGGCTTTGGGATTAGGGGCAAATTGACCGCAGTTTGGGGCCAGTTTCAAAATTTTTTACAGTGAGAAAGACAATCAACAGACTGCAATCACTGTCAATGATTCTGTGTTTTATTTAAGGGGTAATTATAAATAGGCAGAATTACATTCAGATTCTTAAGATTTTTCATTTAATTGTTTAAATTTTCTTATATTTAAAATATTATACACAGATCCCTAAAATTTATGCGCGTATAACACTTAAACCCCTATTATAAATATATCGGTTAATAAATAGATAATATAATTATATAATAATTATGATTTTTTTTAAAAAAAATTAAATTTTAATTTTAATTTTATTTTAATAAATAATACAATAAAACATGAATTTTAGTTATAAAATTTAAAATATTTTATATTTGAATGGAGTATTTTTAGTCTAATTATTATATTTTAAACTTAAAGAATCTAAGTATTATATACCCACAAATAGTTTCAGTATAATTTATTAACAGATATATTTACAACAAGGATTTAAGTGTTACACGCATACAAATTTTAGGGGATTTATGTATAAATATTTTAAATGTCAAGGAGTCAGAGTGATTAAGTGACAAACCTTAGGGGTCTGAACATAATTCTCCCTTATAAATAACCTTTGCGTGATTTGGGTCGATTTTACCTCATTTTCGTTAATATTCATATGTGTATATTAGGGAAAATCTACCGTACAAAAAAAAAATTGTTACAATTTCAAAAATTACTATTTTTAATGGTAACGTTATATCTTTGAAAAGTAAAATTATAATTGGTTGAAGAAAAAATTCATGGTTGATAATGGGATTTTCTTGAATAAATAGTTGTAATTTTTCTTTTATGATTTGTAATTTTACCTTTAAAAATTAGGGTTAATTGTACTAAAAGTTTCTAAAATATGAAATTAATTTTATTTTAATTTCAATATTTTAAAGACCTCCAGTACAATTAACACTAAAAATTATAACTTAACCTTTATTATCATTAACCTGGAATTATACATGGTTGTTATACTTTAACTTTGGACATAGTGAGGTTAATGACAACGAAGGATGTTATCCATGGTTGTCATACTTAAATAAGAGAAAGATATGAATAATCAAGCCTTGATTTAGTTAAAAATTTGTCCTTGACCTCCTAATTATAAAATTTTTAAAAGAATCAATGATAACTGAGATAAGCTCTCGTCGCTATCTAAGATAAACTCGGATCGCTATAAGAGGATCACATATACAAACATAAAATTATTTATATATATAAGCATAAAATTATGTGTCTAGAATTACAACCGCAACTTGAATTTGAACGGTCATTAGGGGTGGCAACTTATAAAACATATGAACACAACTCAAAATTGATATAAAAGTAACGAGTTGGGGTTAATTATTTTTCGACACTAACACGATCGATACAACACGATTGTCACCCTATGTCCCAACAAAATGAAAAATAAGAAAGCTATAGACTTATTACTTCGGGTAACCAAGGTAGTAATAGAATTCCCCTAAAAAAATTTGTTGAAAGAGACAAAGTTAAAAGCAATTTAAAAGGAAAAATAGGCCATTGAATAAATAAACTTTGTAAAGCGTGTGCGTGACACAAGCCAATGCGTGCGCTCAACAAAATAATGCGAAATATTACCCATTATTATTATTATTGCTTTTGTTAAAGTAAAGGCTTAGGCTTGAGTAAGGTTGCACTTAGCAGATTGATTGAAATTATTCCCAACTGCTTTTTCCTCTTCTCTTACATATATTGGTTGATGGGGAATGTTATGTTACTCAAGTCGGTATCGTTTTGAAATTTATAATTTTTTAAAATTAAATT